ACACACACACACACACACACACACACACACACACACACACACACTCTTACATGTGCAGGTAGCATCTCTTGGCCCTCTCCAGGGGCCTCAGCCTCAGTTTCTCTTAGTTGCCTTCTTCAGCCTGGCCTTGGCCTGAGAAAGGCCTTTGGGTTTGTCCATTAAGAGATGATTGGTCACTTTGGAGAGAGCAGTTTTGGTTGGTAATGAGCTCAGGAGTCAGGTTACAAAGAAGGTGAGTTGAGGTGGAGGCAGCCTGTGAGTGTAGATAGCTTTTTCTAGGAGTTTGCTCAAGAAAGAGGAAAGATGTAAAGGAATAATTTGTTGAGGGGCTGGCCAGGACTGGTGAGGATGGGGAGGAGGGTCCCCAGCATGGTCTGGAGACAGCCCTTGGGAGTGGGGGTGTGGGGAAAAGCACCTGCTTCTAGATCCCTGTAAAGTGAATGGATGATGACCAGAAGGGCAAGGTGAGAGAGCAGGTGAAGCTTCAGGGGGGCAGGATCTGGGAGCAGAGTACCTGGAGACGGTCCAGAGGCGCCCAGGCTGACCCTGGTTCCCAGAGGACTAGACCATCAGGTTTGGGGAGCCAGGTTTTCGGTCCCTTTGCTTCTTTGGACCTCTAGAGCTGGGCTTGCTTGGCCCCCTGCAGCTGTAGGAGGCCTTGGTCACTAGGATTGCCCACACACATTAGGAGTGAGAACCTCCTCCTCTCCAACTTCCTTATTGCTGTCCCAGCCCCGCCCTCCCATCATCTACTCCTCACTCACCCTCACCTCCCAGGGCCACAGCCTCCAGGCCTCTCACTGGACCACCACCCTCCCTCTCTCCTCCACTCTCTAAGTTATCTTGTACCTTGCCCCACCCCAGTGCCCAAGGTCATCCCTCTCTTCTTCTCTGATTGAGCTCGAGGGAGGGTGAGGGCTAGCGCCTCTTAGGATTTGGCCTGGGTCACCCTTCCAGGAGGGTCCCTGAGCTTTTAAGGAAATAACCCTAACCTGGTGTTAGGAGTCCTCACACCTGTGGGTATGGCCCATGTGGCCTCAGGAAAGCTACAATTGGAGCCCACGAGTGACTCCCACAGTCTCCACAGAGGTCAGTCAGCACTGACTAGGCCCCAGCTAGCCGGTGACCCTAGTGAAGGCCGTAGGCTCCCAGGCCTATGATCTCAGCACGGCCAGTGTGCCGGTCCAGCTTCTGGCCTGGGTGACCCGAGGGGAAGGGAGGAGAAGGGATTTCTGGGGAGCAGGAAGAAGTCGGTGACCCTGGAGGAAAGCACTGGGCTGGGCTGGGCTGGGCTGGCGGCGCGAGGCCCTTCGGGGGCCTCCCGCCAGCCCTTTCCTCCGCACAGTGTCAATAGCATCTCCAGCCTGGAGCCCGTGAGCCACTGCCTGACCCTGAGTGAGCTCTACCTGCGGAAGAACCGCATCTCCAGCCTGGGCGAGCTCTTCTACCTGAAGGGCCTGCCGCGCCTGAAGGTCCTGTGGCTAGCGGAAAACCCCTGCTGCGGCCCTGACCCACGACACTACCGCATGACCGTGCTCCGCAACCTGCCCGGCCTGCACAAGCTGGACAACCAGAGTACGTGCTTGGGGTGGGGGGGCCCTCAGCGTTTCAGTCGTGTGCGACTCTCTGTGGCCCCAGTGGGGTTTTCTTGGCAAAGATGCTAGAGCGCTTTGCCATTTCCTTCTCCAGCTCATTTGAGAGAAGAGGTAACTGAGGCCAACAGGGTGAAGTGATTTGCCTAGTGTCACGCAGTAAGTGTCTGAGGCTGGATTTAAACTCAGGTCTTTCTGCTTCCGTCTATCCACAGCACTCCCTAGCTGCCCAGAGAAGGGAAGGGGCTTGCCCAGGGTCACCCAGCACTTTGTCTGCTCTGACCTCAGTCTCTAGGGGCGAGTCACCTGGCACCAGGGCTGTGCCTTCCACCCTGGAGACCTTTCCTTGGCAGGCCTCAGTTTCCTCATCTGGAAAATGGGGGTAGGGGAACTGGGTGGCCTTTGGGGTCCCTTCCAGCTTTGGTTTGAGATCCAAGGATTAGTAGCTCCCCACCCCACCCCCAACCCACCACCATGTGTCGTGGTCATGAGCTTCGTCAGGCTCCGTGGGAGAATCTGGGAGTTTGCACAAACCCCAGTTAGGCCTGGAAGGGAGGAAAGCTTCAAAGCCAGCTGTGTTCTGGGGGGCCAGGTGGGGGGGTACCCCTCCATTTATGTGCTTGGGGAGCTCCCAGGCTCCTAGGGCAGGCACCCACCCTGGCTTCAGAGAGCTCCAGGAGCACCAGGCTCTTTGTGCTTGAGGAGGGTCCAGCCCAGAGGGGAGGATCCCCAAGTCTGCACTGCTCCAGCAGCATCAGGGAAGAAGGCTTGGGCCCTGGGGGAGGTGGGAAGCCTAAAAGTGCCCCGCCCTTTGATTCAGGGGAGACCCCACCCATGGGTGTCATGGCCCCCTTTGTCCGTGGCCTTCTGGGAGGCCCTTCCCAAGGCTGAGGCCTTTGTTCTTTGGGGGTGGGGGCAGCCCATGGGCCATGCTGCCATCACCCGGTATGGCTGCTCAGGTGCTTGGCCTCTTCCTGCCCTTGGGTCACCACCATCCACATACTGGTCCTGAGAGAATATTAGACTAAGCCAGGTGTGCCTGGGCTAGCTCTGGACCCCTCCAGGGACATGATGGCAGGGTCTGCCCAAAGAACATCGCACCGGTGTTGGGATGACCAGGCTGGGCCATGATCCCTTCTCGGTCGCCCAGGCCAGGGGGGAAGGGCAGCTCACTGCTCTGAGGAGAGTGTATCTGAGTCCGGCCTGAGTTTAAATGATGTCCGGGCCTGAGAGACAATGGCTGTGGGGACAGCGGGTCTCTGCTCTCCCCACAGCTGTCGCTGAAGAAGAACTGTCTCAGGCCTTGATTGAGGGTGAGGAGATCACGGCCGCCCCGGCCAGGCAGGCCTCTGACAACAGTCATCCCGAGCCCTCAAGGGAGCTGAGCACCATCGACTTGTCTGCAGACACGGAGAGCGACCCACTCCATGATAGCATGGAGGAAACCAAGTGAGCCTTTCCTTTGGGCCAGGGGCACCGGGAGAGAGCTGGCCTAGGCTCGCATGGAGTTGTGCGCCAGGCACAGCGCTCGGGGCAGGGGACAGAGGGGCCTGTGGTGTCACTAGCGTGTGACTCTCCACGGGGCTTTCCTAGGCAAGGAACCTCCTATTGCCCAGCAGGTGGGCTCCTTCTTCACATCCTGAAGACGCCTTCTGGCCCCACCTCCCTTTGGTGCCCCTCTCTCCAGACACACTCAGCTGCTGGCCATGGGGCTTGGGACAGGGAAGGTGGGACCTGGAACAGAAGGGCCCAGGGAGCAGAGAAAGCATGCCAGCAGGGGCCAGAGCCAGGGCAAAGGCCTGGAGGCAGGAGGGAAGGGCTCTGAGGGCAGAGCTCGAAGGAGTCTCATCTCACCTCAGCACCTCCAGACCGACCCCTGCTCCCATGCCTTCTGTTTTCTCTCTTTGTCCAGCAAAATCCGGGAGCAGCTGGGCATGAGGCCTCTCCCCAGGGACCGGTTTTCCTCTTTCTCCCCAAGAGCATCAGTCAGTAACCGAAAGAAGAGGGTGAGTGTGCCTGGGAGCGCTCTCCCATGTACGCAGTGCGAGGACCGGCCTGTAGGAGCCCCAGGGCTCCCCACTTCTCCAGAGGCTGGACTTCTGGCAACGCCCCCTGAAGTGAGTGAGAAAGCATCTGGGTTGGGCATTAGTGGAAGACCCTAGTCTGGGATGGGGCCTCACCCTGCCTCCACACGCCCTGGAAAGGGATGGCAGGCAGGGAGGGGAGCATTTTAGAAAGGTGTTCTCCAAAGAGTTAAGAAGAGTTGGTTCTCAAAGAGGTTAATGTATGAGAATTGTCCTGATAACAGAAGACAGAGCAGCTGCCTTCCTCGGCCTGACCGGTCAACGAGATGTGAGGGTTCATCTCATGACCTTTTACTGTGTGCTGCCGATCTCGGGGGTCTTTAGGGTCATCTTGGGTCATCTGTCTTTGAGAACATGGCCCGGCTCCCCAGCCAACTGGCTGCCAGTCAGCCGAGGCCCAGCTGGGGGTCAGCAGGAGGCTGACTGAGGTCAGCCAGTCAGTCAGCATTTATTCACTACCTACTGTGTGCTGTACCTGGCCGGGCTACCCAGAGGCCTCTGGCTCCAGTCACCTGACTACTCTGGCGGAGTCTCTGCAGGTCTGGGAGCACCTCTATGTTGGTTTTGCCTTCACTGGTGCAGATCACCACCCATTCTGGGAGGGTGGGGAGTTGTTGCTGCAGGGCTTTGGGTGTGCCTGTTGACTTCTGTTCCAGCAAGTCTTTTAGACAGGTGTCCTGAGCACCCCTGAGCTGGGAAGAGGCAGGCTGGACATGCTGAGCCCTCCCCACTCCCACCTCCAGGTCACCCCTTGGTTGTCAAGCTGGTGGCTAACTTCAGGAGGAGTGAAATCAGGTCACGGGTAGTCTTTGGCAGTGGATAGAGCCCTGGGGTCAGAGGACCTGAGTTCAAATCCGGCGTCAGACACTTGACACTTAATAGCTGTGTGACCCTGAGCAAGTCACTTGACCCCGATTGCCTAGCCAAAAAGCAAAAAAAAAAAAAAGTCATTGGCAGTGTTCTTCCTTATGGTGGTGAGAAAGGGGATGGAGAAAGGGGACCCTCTTCCCCTCCCCCATCCCAGGTGCATCTTCTTCCTACAGGACAGTGGGTTATGTGGGCTCTGGGCTCAGAGTCAGAGGGAGGGAATGATGTTTTTGGTTCCACAGAACAACATCCTGAATGCTGTCCTGCTGCTTCTGAAGGAACTAGACGCTAAGGAACTGGACGATGTCCAGCAGGCAGTTGGCCGCCGACTCCAGGCCCTTCGGAAACCAGAGCTGCCTGAGGAATGCTAGGGCCCGGGCCCCCTCTGTCCACCTGAAGGTCATCTGCTACAGCCTGACCCCAGCTGACAGACCTGTGCTGGGAAGCCTTTGGCCTATGGTCAGCCCACGCAGTCTGTCACGTGGCTGCTCCCCACCCGGGTGGCCAGCGCACCAAGGGGACAGGCTGCAGTGGGCGGAGAGAAGAGGCTCTGAGTCTGTCCACGGCCACATTTCCAGAGCTCACTCTAGTATGTGAATATTTGGGATCTGCTCTCACTTTTAGATCTTAGCTTTCCCATTGGGTGACGAGGGATTCATCTGGTGGTGGCACCATCAAAGGCCATTTCCCTTATAAAGCATTTCTCCAAAATGCAGTCTTCCAAGTAGACATTTTCTAAATGACAAGAATTGTTTCCAAGTGTCCTTGCCCATCCCATGGGCCTGGAGAGACCCACAGCGAGGTGCCCTCAGAGCCAAGCTTCCAGGGAGAATTCCAGTCATGGGGTTTCAGCTGAGCCTCCTTCTGGGCACCAGGGAAGAGTCCAGTGGCCTCCTCTCTCCTCTTCAGTCATGTGCATCAACCCATCCAGCTGGGCTGAGCGGGACAGCAGCGGCACCCTCGGAGATCCAGGCTACGGAGCACCATGTGCCTACAGGCCTTCAGGAAGCAAGAGGGGCTGCCCTTTGCCAGAAGGTCTGAAGCTCTCAGAGGGTTGGGGTCCATGAAGGGTCCCCAGGGAGAGACTCACCAGCGTTCGCCACCCAGTTACTGGGGGCCTTGGATCGGATCAAATGCGTATTCCCTGCGGCTGCCCTTTCCTTTCAGATTGCTTAGCTGTGACATTGAATTTGACAGGCACAGTCATTCACAGTGGGCCACGGAAGAGCCACAGCAGCACTGTGGCACGTGGCTGTCTGTTGGAATGGCTGGCCCTTAGACTGAATGGGAAAGGGCCACCTTGGGGGGAAGAGTTGGGAGTGCTTACTGCTTGTCTTTTCCTTAGGCTTCCTCCCACAAGCATCTGAATCTTAGTCAAATAAAACATTTTCAAAACAGCAGGTGGGTGGTTGTCATCTGACTCTTGTTTGCCTAAGAGTGCTTCCTGCAGGACTGCTCTGAGCTTAGGCCAGCCCCTCCCCACACAAGCCGTCCATCTGCCCTTCATTTGTCCCTCAGCCGAGGGGCATCCATGTGACCGGAGGATTAAGTCTGAGTACAGAAGGAAGCAAACCCCTCAGAAAATGAGCAGCGTGGTTGTGTAAATTGACCTCTGGTCTTGCTGCCTCCTTGGTACCATGTCAGAAGACAACGGCCATCTTTGAGAAGGGTGACCGGTTGACCACAGTGGCCGATGACCTGGTAATGGTCCCTTGTACTCACAGTAGTGAGCCCAGGTTAGTGCTGGCCATCAGCCAGGACAACATGTAGATCCCGTGATGGTGATGGTGGTGGTGGTACCGGTGATTCAGTCACCCATCCGACTGTGGTCAAAACACAGCAAGAAAGATGGCTGTTGCCACTGACCCCAGCCGAGTCTTGTGGTTAGTGTGTCAGGGTTAGGGTTACCATCCGTAATGTTGGGCACCAGGCCGAGGTGCCACAACCCAGATCGCCCAAAGAATTTGTGGTGTGATTGCCATGCCATAGACAGTGGAGAATGGGGCAAAGACATTGCTGGCCTGGCGGTCCATGAGAAGGCTAGGAAGCTGGACTTCAGCTCCCAAAAGTTTCCTAGACCATTATGTTAGAGACACATTTTTGAACGTTTGGACAAATCTCAAGGTTGGACTGGCCAAAGAGGGCCCCGTTGCCAGCATGACAAATATGGATTTCCGTACGGCATTTGATCACATCTCTGTTGATAACCTTGTGGATAGAGCTAGAAAAAGGGACCGAACTACCATGATTTCTTAGGTCCAAACTGCTTCAATGATGAGGCCCAAAGAGCCAGGGCTGACCTGTGGAGATCAGCCCAGAATCTCCAGTGGAGTGTCCCCAGGTGCTGTCCTTGGCCCTCCCCAGTTCCAGGTTTTTATCAGCAGTTTGAATCACGGGGTTGAATGGTGTGCTTTACAGTGGAGGTTCTCAAACTTTTTGGTCTCAGGCCCCTGTTACAAAATTATCGAAGATCCAAAGAGCTTTTGTTGGTGTGGGCTGTATCTATTGATAGTTACCATGTTAGGCATTAAAATCAGTAAAATTTAAGAATATTAATTCATGTTAAAATAGAAATCTGTTACCTGTTAAAATAATTTTAAACAATGTTTCCTCCCAAAATAATGAGGAGGTATTGTTTCCATCATTTGCAAATCTTACTCATGTCTGACTTCATCAAAGACAGATTTTCATTTTTTTCTTCTGCTGCAATTCAAACTGCTGCAATATCTCATTTTGACTGGATCATATGAAGAGAAGCCAGCCTCACCCAGAGAGTGAGAAAGGGGAGAAGTAGATCTGTCAGCTTGTGGCCTCTTGAATCAGGCACTGTGCCTGGCATCATCCCATGTTGTGTTAAAATTCATTGGATCACTTTGAAAGGATCCTTTACCCACACATGACAATTTGGTAATTTCTTGTCTTGTTCATTTGGAAAATGTGGGTTTGCTGAGTTACATAGATCTTCAAATGTTGACACATTTCATTATACGATGGCAAAAAAAAAGAAAAAATCACATTTGTTAATATCAACACAGAATCAGAAACATCTTTCTTGATTGGGACTGTCAGCTTCGCAGTGGCAGATACAGGTTTTCCAAGATTCTAATTTTCATTTGAAAAGTCCGATTTTATCACTGGTAGCAAATATGGTCAGTCATTTTCCCTGAAGTAACAAACTCACTTGGTTCATTTTTTAGAAGATGTCTGCCAACGCCTGAGACTGAAAAAACAGTTTGTTAATCACTCTTTCAAATAGAAATGGCGTCCTGTGGAAAAAGCAGCCAGTCTAGCTTGTTGTGTTAGGCATCTCCCATGCCATCTCACAGACAGTGAGAAGACATGCCCTTAAGGGTCAAGGCTTAGTAGAACTCATCACTTCCAGCGCCTAATCAAGGACGTTCTTAAGTAAAACTGGAATTTGGGGTTTTTCCTGGGAGTGCACTTGGTGCCCCTGCCTTGACTGGCGGGAAGGCAGCCCAGCAGCTTTATTCCCCATCAGGACTGGTGTCAGCCTCGCGGCTCCAAGATAACTCAGAAGATTCAGGCGAGTTGTTCAGCACTTTGAATATTTCCACTCCCCTTGTGTTTGTTGGGCACATCTGGAGATGCATCCGTTTGTAAAGCCAAAGTACCATTCTGCAAATGAGATGCTCACTCTTCATGTCTGCAGCCCAGTCATTCATTCCGAGGTCATGTAGCCTCTGAGAGAATGGGAGCAAAAAGGGTAAATGGGGTCTTAGTCTTATGAAAACAGTTTTGACCTCAAGGAACCTCTGAAAGAAGTTCTCCCAGGGGTCCATGGGCCACACTTTGAGATCCCTGTCTTTTTTTTTGTTGTTGTTGTTATGCAATGGAGTTAAGCAACTTGCTGAGGGTCACACAGCTAGTAAGTGTTATGTGTCTGAGGCCGGATTTTAACTCAGGTCCTACTGAATCCAGGGCTGGTGCTCTATCCACTGCGCCACCTAGCTGCCCCATGAGATCCCTGTCTAACAAAGTTCTGGATGACAAATGGAAGCTAAACATTCTCAGGGCCTGGAATAGTGGGCTAAATCAAAGGCAGCAAAATGTCATAGAAATAAGTGTAATTTCCTACACTTGGGTCAGCAAATCAGTTTCACATGCACAGGGCAGGGCTTGGTAGTTGTCACTAAATAGCAGTCCATGGGAAAGAAGATCTGGGGGTGGGGGGCGGGCATTAGTGACTCACAAGCTCTCTAGGAGTCTACAGTGTATCATGTGGTGCCAGACAACTGTGGGATTTTAGGCTTCACTGAGAGAGGCAGTGGGCTGGGAATTCTGTCCTCTACTCAGACCCCATCTAGTGTATGGCATTCTGTTCCAGCATCCTTCCACATTTTAGGAAGGACATAGACAAAAATAAATACCTCATATTGATAGAACGTTTCAGGGTTTGCAAAAAGTTCTGACAGCCCTGTGAGGCAAGAAGTAGTATAAGTACTATTTCTCTTTCCCTCTTTCCCTTCCTCTTTCTCTCCCTCCCTTTCCCGTCTCCTCTCTTACTCCCTCTCTCCTCTCTCTCTTCCTCCCCCCACTGTCTTTGTGTCTCTGTGTCTTTCTCCCTCTCTCTGTCTCTCTCCTCTCTCCTCGCTGTCTCTCCCCCTCACTCTCTGTCTGTCTCTCTGTCTTTGTCTCTCCTATCTCTCTCCTCCTCTCCTTTTCCCCTCTCTCTTTCTCTTCTCTGTGTCTGTGTGTGTCTCTTTGTCTCTCCCCATCCCTCTCTGTCTCTTTGTCTCTGTGTCTGTCTGTCTGTCTCTCTGTCTCAGCTGGTGACTACATCTCTCCATTTCTGCTCCCCCCTGAGCTGGGGGAGGCGTGGGGTCCATCCTGGCAGAGCCATCACCACAGCCTGGCCTCTGGTGGAGGGATTCACTTCAACCTGTATTGGATATTGGGCTCCAACTGTATGCAAAGCTGCAAGGGGCAAAAGCCCTGGAGAATTGTCTCAGTAATCTGCACACACAGCAACCCCCCACCCCGCACAAGCCAGAAATCAGTTCTAGAATAATGGAGATGTGGGGAACAGAGCTCTGCCTCTTTGGAGAAGGTGATTCCATAGGATAGTAACCCTAAAAGGGCCACCCCACCAGTGCAGATCATGAGAATGACCAGAAAGGACTGCCTGGGGTCTCACAGATAGGCTGGGTCAGAGGTTGGGCAGGAGCCCAGGTCTTCGGGCATCCTCCACCCTCTCTCTGCCATGGTCTCTGCTATGCTCTAGGAAGGGACCTCTGAGGTCTTCCACTCAGGGGAGGAAACTGAGGCTTGAGAGATGGAGACACACGGCCAATAGCATGAGATTGGCGCTCAGGTGCCCATCGCCATCTGGCAAGGCCCTTGGCAATGCTTTCCAAATGTTATGATCCTGTGTGAGTGATGGCTCAGGTGTTTAAATGCTCTCCACAGTAATACCGTGTGTGTTGTGGACATCAGGTAATCCAGGAAGATGAACATGGCGGCATTTCGGCGGATGCCAGGACCAGGGTGTGCACCCTCACTGTCTTCCTGCTGCCTCTAAGATAAATGACCAAGTCTCTGCCTGACATTTTTTGTTGTTCAGTCATTTTTCAGTTGTATCTGTGTCTTTGTGACCCCATTTGGGGTTTTCTTAGCAAAGATACTGGAGTGGTTTGCCATTTCCTTTTCCAGTTCATTTTACAGATGAGGAAACTGAGGCAAACAGAGTGAAGTGACTTGTCCAGGGTCACCCAGCCAGTGTCTGAGGCTTGATTTGAACTCAAGAAGATGAGTCTTCCTGACTCCAGGCCTGGCACTCTAACCACTGAGCCACCTGACATTAAAGACCTCCCTCATCTGGCTCCCTCCTCTTTCCGGGCTGTTTCCCATGCTCCACATTCCAGCCAAATTGGCCTGCAGACCATTCCCCTACACTGGCTGTCCCTGAAGGCTTCAGTGGCCTCCCTCCTCCTCTTGGCCACCAGCTCCCTTTCAGGAAGTCTCTACTCTGTCTGGTGCTGCCTCCCTGGCCCCCCCTGGTGTGGGCGCTCTCCCCCCTCAGACTACCTGATATGCTTCGCCACTCTTATTTCCAGGGAGCTTCCCCTTGCAGAGTGTAAGCTCTTTGAGGGCGGGGACATATTCTTGTCTGGCACAGCCTGGTGCTAGGGGTGAGGTGCCTCCTCCCTGTTCCCTGGGCCGCCAGGTTCCGTGTCTCTCGGCAGTCAGCCCCACGCAGCCATTTGGAAGACTTCGAGAAAAGTACCTCAAAGTATTATCCAACAGGGTGCTGAGAACAAGCTTACAGTGGGGCCCCTCAGCTCCCACTAGGCCTGCCTCCTGCGTGAGCCTGTGTGGCACCATGCTGCTTGTGCCCCACCACCACCACCAAGGAATGCACAGAAGGGCCGTGCAAGAT